GTGGTGGTGGTGGTGATGGCTTGCGTTGGGAATGATTCAACTCGTAACTCATGAGTTTTTTTTTTTTTTTTTATTAGATCACTGAATGTGAAAATTGAACGCGTGACTCTTAGTGAGCGCATATTGTTCTTGTAAATTTTGCAGGGTATTATGTGTAGGTACACATGAATGTAGATACATATGTTATGTGTCACTTGAGCATTAATTTGTAGGACCTTGCTAACCTTCCCAATTATAATTACACGAGTAATTTTTTTATAGGGGCAGAATATCGTACATTTTCCATAGATTAACGAAAATATAGATGTTTAGAGCTTAGATTTTCTAGTTCTCTCGTTAAAACAAAATACTTGCTCAACGGTTTGGGAAGTTCTCTTGGACTCCTATTCTCCACTTTGGCGCAATTTCGATCTGACTGTGAACTAAAAGGCGTATATGTAATTACGCTCTGCAATACAATAAAAAATAAACGAATAAAGCTAAATTTTTTATTTTCCTCTAACTTATTACTTTTACAGGCAAAACCCGCCGAATCAAAGAAGTCCAAAAAAGAAAAGGCCCCTGCCGCTGACGCTGATTCGGATGAGGATGAAGTTTTAGAAGAGATCATTGAGGGTGATAGTGACATTGAAAGTGATGAATACGATATCCCCTACGATGGTGAAGAGGAAGATCTCGAATGTGACGGTATGTAGTATCTATGTAAAGATTTATGGCCGTATTCATAAAAAATAAAGTAGTTTTTGAAAAGCTTTATAAGGTGAAATTTTTACACCAAATTTTCGATTTATAGAGCACTTAAAGTTTTCGTAATTTTTTTGTAAATTTTGGGTGTAAATATTATTAAGTATAAATATAAAAAATTACACATTACATACATTAATATATATATAGTTATTTACATATTTGAATGACAAAAAAATTAAAGATAACAGTAGTTTTAAAACCAAAAGTATAGCCTTATTGAGTCATATCACTGTTTCGAATGTCGGTAATCATTCTTTCGGCAGTCGTTCGCTGGATTGCGCCGACAAATTTCGACATCTTTCAATAATTTTAAAATTCCAAAGCCACTAAAGAAGTACCACCTTGTAGATTTTATCGCCGCTAACCTCAGGGCGGCAATAAAAATCTAAATTTTCGTCCGAATATAACTGTCATAACGAATATAAAAATTAGGGTTGTTTAAAAAAAACGTACAAAGTCGATACAATTTTGTTATTCATACAACATTTAAAACAAATCTCATGTTTGTAACAATTAAAAACAGAATTGACTATTAAAAATGCCCTCTCACCTTCCATTTACGTTTAATATTGCGGTTAATGTTTTAAAACTTGTTTGGACCTTATTAAAAGGAAAATCTTCGAAAGACGTAAATCGACTACTTGATCAAAATCATTACTTTCGAAGTGATTTTTGAAGAATATAAAAAAGTTTTCTATAAAGCTTTCTTAAAAATCACAAGTAATGCATTTTATTTTGAAAATGTAAATTGAACATTAACTTTTCTCGAATAAAATTGATTTTTCATATTTAAAGGACATATTTTAAAATAGAGGCTTTCTTTTAAACGGCAAAAAGTTTAATGGGTCCATTACGGATGACAACCGAATTCAGTTGCGTTGCCAGTGGCTGAAATTGATTACAGATGGCAACTGCATTTTTGCATGAAAGTTATAGCACCTCTACGGTTAGTCGAGGTGTTGTGATGAGCTAAGGGTATTCATCTAAACACGTAAACTTACAAAACATGTAAATTTAAGAGTTAGGAAGTAAAAATCAAAAATGTATTTTCCTTCACGCCTCATCTACTAATGTTCCAAATTTTGATAAAATGGTGTTAAACCAGATTGAAATACTTTTATTTCGAGTTTAACTTTCGATAAGTTTACCGCATTTAAGCAAATTGATAGATGGTTTACGGAGATTTGTCATGATTTACGAGGCATTTACCCTGCGTAATAGTTTCAGAATTTCTAGCTCTCGCTAAACACTAATGTATAATAATTTCCAAATTTCTTCTATTACAGACGATGACGACGATAACGATGACGGCTCCGGCTCCGACGATCAGGCGTAATAATAATGTAGTAGTCAAAAACCATTTAAATTAAATATAATAAAAAAAAAATCATAAAAATGCAAGAAAACTTAAAAAACAGTAAAACAAACAAAAAATGTAATAACACAAAACCAACAAAAATCGATGAAAAAGGAAAGAAGTATATAATTATTATGTTAAGAAATACTTTTTAATTTCTTATTTTATTTTAATTGTATTATGTGTAATTTTTTTTATAAAAAAATAAGAGATACGATGATGATGCTGATCAACAAAAAAGGCAAAAAACCCACAAACTGCATAATTCTTTCCTTTACTCTTAAGTCTTACGTATGTACGTATATTATCATTTAAATATATAAA